GAATGTGAACAATTCATCATCTCGAACAAAACGGGCCACTATAATGTGAGAATGGTCCATCAGATAATTCAGGCTCTAATATTGTTTTAGTCGTCATGGGATCCAACTCATAATAGATTGACAATTAATGAGTGGATTAAATCTTGTATGTTATGTTCTTTTGTTTTTATTCGATCTTTTAATAAATCTTGCAGCTTGGTCGATGAATGCTACTGCAACTGGCTTCACATCAACCGAGTTTTCTTACGGAGCTGGACATGTCGACCCAATAGCAGCTGTTAATCCTGGTCTCGTTTATGAATCAACCAAACCAGACTACATATCCTTTCTTTGTGGCATGAACTACACTTCAAAAACCCTTAAGCTCATTTCCGGTGAAGCTGTCACTTGCACCGGAAAGACCTTACCAAGAAACCTCAACTATCCTTCAATGTCAGCTAAACTTTCGGGATCTAAGAGCTCTTTCAAAGTCACTTTCAACAGAACCGTCACCAACGTAGATACCCCAAACTCTACATACAAATCAACGGTTGTCTTAAGTCACGGATCCAAGCTCAACGTCAAGGTCTCGCCTAGTGTTCTATCTATGAAGTCGGTGAACGAGAAGCAGTCTTTCACGGTGACTGTTTCGGGTAGCGGTCTTGACCCAAAGCTGCCTTCGTCTGCAAGTCTAATCTGGTCTGATGGGACTCATAACGTGAGAAGCCCCATTGTTGTTTATTCGAGTAAGTGATGAGGTCTGTTGGCATCTTATGATCAAACTTAATAATATTGTATCTCATGACATCTTTTTTGGTTTATATACATTAAGTTTAAGATTAAAAATTGATAATTACATTACATATGGGGATTACCCTTTCTATACTGAATGAAAATATATTATATATTTACATATGTATAGTTGGCTAATGAAATGAATACTTTCTCGCATAAGATTGCATACAATTGTTTTTACAAAGAACAACTTTACATCGAGATGTAGCTTCCGAATTAGTTTTAAGAAACAAACAATTTATGGACTGTATTTAGATGAGCATTCAAATGGACTGTATAGATTTAAACGAAGAAACAAAGAAAACACCGACTTGTAATGATATTTTTTGGATTTGAATAAGAAAGTTGATAAACAAAAACAATTTGAGCTAGTTCAAATTATGTGACAGAAAACCGTAAGTAGATATGTTTTCTTACAAAATGTAAATACAATGATACCATTTGATACAAATATCACAATTTGAGTTCCAATTTGATACAAATATCATTACAAATTTGGTAACACCTGATTTCATTTTAAAGCTAAAAGAACAGAATCAAAGGAGTTTAGTTAGGCTTTTTCCATAGACACGCCAGATTTCTACGATAACACACACTTTCATTTAATATTGATCTCCATAGAAATTTGTAAAATTGCAGTAACCTTTCATTTGTTTTTCTAAGAAAATAGCAAAATTACGAGTATTTTCCTTCTGTCTCTTCTCACTTCTCCTTGTATTTGTTCTTGACTTCAGTCTCAGCAGGTATTATCATCACTCATCAGTACATATGTTACTA